ATCATTTTCCTTCCTCCAGAGTACTTCTGAACAGCATTAGCAGATGTATTTTCCCTCTGTTTTTCTAAAACACAAGGAACATACAGCGCAAAGGACCTCTCCCTCATCTCAGCTCTGTTTTTCTCAGTGATTTCGCTATCAATTTGCAGGACTTCTATTTTCTTTTTCTACACTAATGTTCCTTATAACCACAAGTGACTCTCAGATCTTGGTTATATCATGCAAAAAAAAATTTACATGGTACTCTGATACCAAACTGGTTTAAAATTGGTAGCCTTTGTAAACAAGGAGATCTCCACCATGTCCTAGGTGCTCAGAAAGTTTTGAATAGTTGTTGTTTACGCAGGGCTGTGAGACTCCTGATTGGCAAAGCTGTTTGACCCAGTGATGTCACTAGTAGTGAGATGCATGCTTCTCTATTGTGAGAAGTCTCAGGTATTTCCTTTTCGGTTCCAGCTCTGAACAGAGTGGTGGGGAATAAAGGAAAGATAGGTATATGCTGCTGTGGAGAGGCTATTAAAACAAACCATGACATCTACTGAAAAAGTGCATTTGTTGTTTTTCTGCATTGGAGCCAGTAAAGCATTGCAACCACAGTCAGTGGATCGCCGGTGCAATGCTCTGGCTCCTGCAGATTCTCCCTCCCATTCCTGTCCGTACCGAGGTACGGACGTACAGTAACATGGATGGGAAAAAGAATGAATGGACTACGACCGCACCTTTACTTCATTCTGCTGCTGTGGCTGATGAGACTTGTAGGTACTCCATCCACAAATCCTAAGGCTCTGTGAATGGATGATGTGGCTGTGTGGGTGGCGCTACACACAGCCACACTGAATTAAAAAAAAAAAAAAGAACAGCGGCCTGTGAGAAGAACCCCATGATTCAGGTAAGTGTGGAGGGGTGGTATGCAATGTGACCATGTTTCATGTTACTCCCTGAATATGGGTGTAATATAAAATATGGTCCCAAAGGTAATTTAGCTTTTAACAATTTTAGGTCAGCAATGGCAGCATACATATTTTTAACAGTATAGGTTTGTTTTAGGAGATGACAGCAGTAAAGACTAACTAGACAGATAGCTGAGCCCGCATATGTAATACATAAACTACCCTATATACATACAAACCTTCAAACTATACACAGAGGCAGAGTTTTTAAAGCATTAAAATAGCCGACAACAGAATCAGGTCTGAGCTAAAGGGCAGCTATGGTACTACAACAAGTGCTGGATACATGCTCGGCTTGCTAATTGAACAATTAAGGAAAAGTAATAAATTCATTAGATCCATTGAGAGACTTAGGACATTTTATAATAACATGGGTTATATAGTGCCACCTTCAGTTTGAGTGGACATTAATACAAATTACTGTAAACCAGCCCCTATGGCCTATTTAACGCCTCATACAACAGCCATTCTTCAGTTTAGTCTAGTGTCCTTGGGTAGGATAGACGTCTGTTTTCAGGTCAGCTGTTCGATGAGGATTGGTAAATGTTTATCACGCACAGTTCTTGAGCAAACTTAATACACGTAAGTGTGTACTTTAACCTTTTAACCTTGCATGGCCAATGATCTCTGAATATTGGCCATGTATTAAGACCCTTTTCTACAGATATTGGCAAAAAGTGAACTATTCTAAAAGTGGCCTATTAATGCTGCCTATCAAATTGTGACCACAGACCATATAAAAAGATAGTGGCATCCAGACAGTGGTGATTATTTGAAGTTTTTATAGAGCCTTTCAGTATGAAGGGGAAAGGGAATGGTTTAAACTCCTGTCATTTTTTCATCTGCCTTATTGGGGAGATTTCACTTCACTTGTGTCCTATAGACACAACAGTAAGTAAGCAAGAATCTCTCTAAAGTGTGGGAAATCTCCTCTTAGACTTGTGACAATGATCACAAGGACAAACAGAATAAGTCTACCCAGTGGAGACAGAGACAGCAATACAAACCTGACATGGTTTATAATCCCTCACTAATGAATTAAAAATTGTTTATTGAGAGACATAGGATTTAGTGACATTTGAGTCATAGTGCCTACAGAAGAGTTAGGGCACTGGCAAACAAAAGTCACTAATGTGGTTTAACCTGTAAGCAATAGCTTTAGATGGCATATCTAAACCCCATGGGATGGAACAGAACAGAAGCTGCCTCTGGTGTGACCCTGTCTCTAAAGACCCATTTGTGAGAAAGCCATGAGGGCTGAGCATTGGGAGGCACTATATTTATGGGTGATATTAATAGCCTCCTTTTCCCGTTTGTCTCCACAAAAAGGGTTAAAATGCTGAGGAGCTCAGTACTCCTAGGTGGAGTGTCACATGTGCTTACTCCACATTGTGTTCCTGTCTTTAGTATGAGGTAGCTGCCATTGCTCCTATGTGCAAGTGGCACACAGTAACTCCCCACCTACTGTGCCTACTGCCTACTGTGACCTGATCGTCTCAGGTCAGGTCATTTGGACCTCTTCTAGTCTTAGCAGTCAGATTTTACCTGGTATACTCCATTAAGTTGTTTCCCTTGTGGTGCAACATGTCAGATCACACGCATAAGAGGAGCAGTCCCGCTGAATCAGGTCTCTCCAACACTTAATCCACTACTAAAAGTTCTGGAGTGGCCTACAGTGTTTCCTCGCAAGGACCTAACCCCAACAGCCTGGAACTTTATCCCCTGAGTCTTCACATTCCTTGAAGGCCTCCTTGGCTCTATCAGGTATAGCCCCTCTCTCTGATTTAACCTGGGAGGATTGCACTGCAGTTATGCAAACCACAATGTTAATTGCTGACTCTGACCGCAGAGAATATAAGTGTACCTCAATGCCTTTCCCTGCAGCATCATTATACAGGTGAAACTCGAATGATTAGAATATCGTGCAAAAGTAATTGCAGTAAGTGCTGCAAAAGGGGCCCAAACCAAGTACTGAGTACATATGCATGCTTGTACTTTTCAGAGGTCCGATATTGTTCTATGTACAATCCTTGTTTTATTGATTGCATGTAATAATCTACTTTTTTGAGGTTGTGGATTTGGGGTTCTTGGGGTTCTCTTCGAGTATCTGGGTCTGACACAGCTCAAGCCACAGTTTTTCTTCCACATGAAAAACTTCAAATGTTTTGTTCTCAGACATGAACTCTTCTGTCCAACAGTAGACAAACTCTTTGCTTTTGCATGGCAGCTGTAAGGCTGCTGGAAGTCTCCTTCAAGGCAGTTCCATTTGCCCAGTTTAATCTCAGATCCCTTCAACTCAACATCCTTTCAATGTGGGAAAAATCAGTTTATTTTCTAGATAAACTGATTCACCTGACACCAAAGACCAGTTTGTCTCTGGCCTGGTGGCTCAGGAATCCAGCTCTGGAATTGGGGAGATCATCACAATGGATCCCAGCCTCACAGTGATGGCTGGTTCTGGATGAACATCACATAGCCTGCCTTAACCTTTAAAAAATAGTTCAGTAATGACGGCTCCCATTTTTTGACTAATTCATTGTCATAGAAAAAAAATATGATAATGACTGGACAACAGAAAGGGATGTCACATAAACATTTATTTAAAGTAGAAGAGAAATTGGAAGGGTTACCCGTAGCAACCAGTCAGATTCCAGTACTGTTTTTTAGAGATAATTGGGATTAGTGGCTATGGTCAGTATGGTGATTAGTACTCTTGCAGCAATACTAGCCAAGCAAACTGTGGGTATGTATGTTCTTCTGTATTCATCCGAGTTTCTTCTAGGTCATGGGTAGTCAAACCTTGGCCTTTAATTTTGGTGAAACTACAAATCCCATTAGGCACTGCAAGACTCTGACTTCCAGAGGCAGATGCATGATCTGATTTGTAGTTTTACCATAGCTGGGGGGCTAAAGTTTGGCTACCCCTGTTCGAAGTGCTTTGGTTTTGTTTCACACTAAAAAAATAGTAGGTTAGACAGCTTATTATCAAATCATTCAGACTATGGGGACATATGCTTGTATGTGGTATTCTGCATTGTGCTGTATAATGTACTATTGCTGGGTTTTGTAGTCCTCTATAGCCGGTGCCATTCTACATTCATTGACGTATAATTTTACACTTTTCATTTCACTATATTGTACACCACACTTTTTTTTTCTTTTTTACTTCCACCGCTCCAAGCTTGCTGCAATCTCAATACAAACTAGAAGTCCCATCACTGGAGCCATTTTTTAAAATGTATTTTTTATCCGATTAACCGATTAATCGAACTTAATAATCGGCTAACTAATCGATTTTGAAAATAATCGTTAGCTGCAGCTCTAGACTGCAGTCAATTAGAGATGCAACCCTGCTTACACTTAATATTCAAAATGAATGCTAGAAGGCATGGAATAGATACCGCCTTTCTATATCCAAATAAGTGTCACAGAAGCAGCCAGCACTTATCTAAAACATTAAAACATCTTAGAATGTTTATTGTAGCATCAAAATACTGGCTTATTGTATGCCTTGGAGAGATTTTCCCTCACTTTCTTTTCGAAGAACAAGCTGTCACAGGGTAAGTAAAGGATGGTAAATCTCTGCAATGGGGACAGCGGTAGCTAAAGGCCCTTTTTTTTTTTTTTTTAGGAATAGTCCACTGGGGAAATGTTTTAATGTCAGGGTTTTTTTTAATTACTGTTTGTGTCTTGGTCTCATGATGCCTGTTTCTCTCATTTCTTGTCTGAGATTCTCAGGGGTCAGGTAGTGAGGGTAAATCTTCTCAGCTGGATCACAGACAGCAATAAACACTTGACAGAAGTTCTCTCCTTTCCCCCACTCTATTCAAAACTGGTTGGGGTTGGGCTTGGACAAGGTTGCAAAATTACTGTAGTCTAGTCCATTCTTGACATCTCAGCTGCGTTAAAATGGCAAAAGTAAAATGTGTTCATTTTCTTTCTAGCCAGCCATACTGTAATAAAAAAAAAAAAAAAAAAGTATTTTTCTACGTATTGGTCTTCAGCTTTGAAATGCATAGTAACAAACCTATTTATTTTCCTATCTCACAGTTTGGGAACGAGGAACAGCAGCTAGCATGGGCCAAACGAGAGAGCCAGAGGGCAGAAAAAGAAAGACTAGATCGTTTAAAACGACAGGAACAAGAAGACCTGGAGCTAGCTATTGCTCTCAGCAAAGCAGAAATGCCCAGCTCTTGAGAACTGTATCATCCTGTACCCGTACTCCCTGTGACCATGTGACAATATGCCAACTGTATGATGAAAATCCGCCATCACTTTTGATGTCTTTTATTTCTAAACTAGCCAATCATTGGAGAGTGGTGGTATCGCCTGGCTGCCATCCAATTATGACATTCAGTGGAAGGTTTCATCGTATTCAGCTGAAAATAATCTCATACAGAGACAATGTTGGAGCCATTGTATTATTTGGTTTTCTCATGAATGGTATCAAGGAGAATTTTATTTTAAGATTTTGCACCCACAGACAAAAGTTTTGAACTGAATTCTGCACATTCTCAAATCTTCATCCATTACAGGTGGAACATAAAAGCTCTACATAGAATGAGAAAGGGAAATCGAAATCTCTTTTCCCATCTTTGTTTTCTGTATTTTTATTTGCTTTTATAGATACTGATCTCTTATAAAAAGGCAGCTAGCTCAGCAGTACAAAGAACTGCAGCATTTCCAGTGTTACATATCACTACCAGAAAATGATATGATCAAACATAATTGGTAAAAGATGTTTAAAATAATAATTCTTCTTTGCTGGAGTGATTTGTTAATATACTGTTACACTGTAGGAGACTCTTAGCCCTTTGGATCATATGAGTGGTATGCCCCAATTCTGTAAACGGAAGTGAATGGCTTAAATTATTTGCGCCCATGTTTTTAATCTTTAGATGAGTACCATCTAATTATCTAGATTATAGATATTGTACTAAATTAAACTTGTGCATTATTTTAAAGCAAGGTATTACACATTAAAGGCCATCTCCACCCATAACTGATGGATATTTTAGTTTTGCATGGTTGCTAATTGACTTGTAATTGCGCTACAACAATGTGGTATACTCCCTTATCCCTGATCCATCTAGTGAGTAGATATGAGCCTGGGCTTGTTGTAAACCCAGGTTCATTTGTGTTCACCCAAGCCCGTTTAAAACTGTGACCAGGGATGTTCAGATACCAAGTACCATACTCGGTACAAGTACACGTACAGAGAAATTAAAAAGTTAGGAGGCAGCTGTTATTTTTAAGGAGCATATGGAGCTCCCGGGATTTGTGCTTTCCTGTTTTAATGTATGATTTTGTTTTTTGGCTTGCACCAAACCTAGGCTCATCACTACTAGTGAGCAATAGCTCTCTGGATCGGGACAGGCGAGTATACATTTTGGAAGTGGGGCTGGAAACAGAGGGCCTTCTATATACCAAAGGTGCAGTTACACATGTCTATGGAAAAACCCCACTTGAAGCAGGTCAAATGCACCTGTCAAAAAATTCTAAATGATCTCAGAAGCATCTCAAACTGGCTTGCATCTTAGGAGACATGAGACTAGTTTTGCTCAACTCCTCTGACCGGTGGTGGTGGTGGTGGTGGTAATAATACACTTCCACATAGATTTTTCCCTAACGTAGAATAGACCAATAATGGGTAAGTCCAGTTGTATTTGCTTATTCTGCTCACCCAAAACTAAAATATTAATTTGGAGTAGAGTTGGCCTTTAGTGCACATTGAATGAAAACGGTAAAGGAGCATAAATCCTCTAAAAATAAGCAATGTGCCCATTTGGCTTTTACCTGCCAATATTTTCTGATACTATGCTTGAGACCACCCTTAAAAGTATAAAAATAATTATTATGGTTTGAGGTTGCCAGTACCCTGATGAAGAATTAAATTATTTTGTATGGGACCAAAATATAAATATAGCGGTGCCAGGGGCCCATTCACAAGTCTGTAAATGTTTTATGGCGTGTAGTTCCGTTTTTGATGGATTTTACATGCGTTTACTGTATGGCATTTCTGGGAAGGGGGTTTGCAGCTTTATCCACTGAAACACATGTATAGTGCATTTTAACATTCGGTACCAATGATCTCGGTATAACACGCCTTCAAGATCTGCAGCAAGCTGGATACTTGCAAACAACACTGCAGCAAAATTGTAGGTGCAAATGCATGGTACAGAACTGTAGCTTTTAAAATAGTGATGAAATGTGTGGGTGTGAATGGGCACTGATCCTGCCTTGCCTGGAAATCAATATTACTGCTCTCTTGCAGGTAATAAAATAGGCAAAAAGCTAAAATAATGTTGGGCTGGAGGTTGCAAATGCCAAATTGTCGCTCCACTGACCTGCAAACGTCTTATTATAAAGTTTTGGCTTGCCCTGCCAAACGGTGCTAGATTGGTTGACCCTGAATTTGTGAGCAATGGGCACCTTCCTAAGCATAGACTTGTTAGTGCTGGAATCATGATGTAGCAAGTCATGCTTCTTTGGGCACAAAGGAGCCTGCCATACAAGAGTGACATTACATGCATATTGTAAATTGCCAGAACCCTCTGTAATACAGCTCCCCCTTTTATTGATATGTATGGTTCCACACAAATCAAAGCACATGCATTGTGTTGACATGCGCTTTAGACACGTTGCCTTTTTGAAAAGTCTTTTATTTTGACTTGATTAGCAAAATATAGGCTGCAGGCAGGTCCGGATTTACTCTCTGCTGCCCCAAGGCCAGGTTCCTCAATTCGCCTCCCTACCTGCAAACCCCCCCATGGAGAATGGCAGACCTGCAGGCCGCATACAAGTGATCTCGGCGACATTGCCGGGATCACTTGTAGAAAACAAGCGGCGGCTTCCCCGCTGTACATTTAGCTCTGCTTGCCCAAAGCAGGGCTAAATGTAGAAACCAAATTCCCGCCCGGCACCCGGAACTGCATGTCCCGGGCGTTGGGAGATAGGAATTCCACACCCCTGCTGCCCCTCTACTCCCTGCTGCCCCAAGGCCGGTCCTTGGTTTGCCTAGTAGGAAATCCGGCCCTGGCTGCAGGTCTTTTCTTCAATGCGCTCAGAAGCAAAGCATTGTCATGTACAGATCCTACTGAAAACTATGGATTTTTTTTTCAAGTCCATGCCTTATGCTTGCCTTGGAGAATGTATCTTCATTTGGAACAAAGCCTTACAATTGGATTGCCACTGCTTTAAATACACATGACAATGTAGGAAATAAACTACCTTAGGGAAATTAATCCAAATCTTTCTGCAATAAGTCTTAGATTGGAGATCCCTGCTCAGATCGCTGAGCCATATACTAGTTGTGGGTCAGTGGAGCTAAACATATTCAAATGACACAACAGAGAATTGCAGTTTCTATCTGAGGCTTCATCCAAAACACCCAAGCAGGCGCACACCGATGAGGTCACTGCATAAAAAAAAACTTTATTGTGCTGTAAGCATGCCACACGAGAATCGTGCAGTGTATGGACTTTTGTATATCGAGCATGTTGGAAAACCAGCCGAGAATCGTGCGATTTTCGGCTGGTTTTTAACATGATTCAGCATTGAATCGGGGGCAGGCTTGCGATGATCGCATTTACGATTTGCCTGTCCAAGATGGGCAGATCGTACGTTTTTCAAATTACTTTACAACCCTCGCAAGACACAAGTCTTGCGAGGGTTGTAAAGTGTACGGGCACCTTTAGGCGTTTCACCCTGTTTGGGCTTAGTCATACAGACTTCCATCTGAGGCTTATCACACATGTAATTTAATTTATGGAGGATGCTGCTATTATACCACAATTAACTGTTTTGCTGACGTGTAGAAGCTCAGCTGGATGTACTAGTAACATTATAAAAGAAGAATACTAAATATTTCCCCTAAATCATAAACGGTGTACAGCCTTGAGTATTCGTAAGAGATACTAATAGTCTTGTCATTGTGAAAGTGAAGGCACAAACACCTATCTTTTATTAGAAAGGTCAGTAAGATAACTGACATTTATTATATTCCTTTTATTTTTTTAATCCTCTGGGATCTTGTATAAACTGTGCCTATTCACCATACACATTTATAGTTGGCTCAATAGCAACCAACTTCAGCCGATTTTAAAACAGATGGTCCAAGTTTAGACTTAATACTCATGCCCAGATTTAATGGAATCTGTGTGTTTGGAATCATTTCCTTTGTAAATCTACCACATTGCAGTGTTGGAGTGCTATATAATAATGCACATTTTGAAGTGTTAACAATATGAGGCAAAGGGTTAACCAGTATCATTGTGGTTTTAATGCTGTGGTGAGGAGATATTACTTAGAAGTCACACGGTATGCAAACCTCACACCTACATTACTATTTTTCTTTGTGGGTTTTATTTTTATTTTGTGTATCTTCTGGTAAATAGCGAAATCGCCTTAATAAAAACATAATATGCAGACCCCTCGTAAAGATGACCTTGACTTGCATTTGAATCAAATGCAGTAGCACGACATATATTTTGTAATAGAGGTTTTTTGTTTGTTCCTATTAGAACATGAAAGGGTCAATCCACCCAAAAGTGATGCTGGAGAGTAAAACCACCTAATGGCTTCTTGTGTCTCTTTAGGACGTTGGGGTTGAGTATCCAGGCCTGGGTGAGTACTGTGCCAATTATGTCATAGAGAATATAACAGGAGAGTCGGGAAAGAACAGAGGCGTTGGAAGTGGCAGGGAGATCTCACTCTTGGAGTCTCCAGACCTTCAGGGCCCAATTACACTATTGCTTCGCAGATGCATAGGGTATATGTGTGTTTTCAATCCATTCTTTTTGAATGGCACCTCAACACACACATACATTAAGTAAAATTCACCTAAACTATAGCACAGCATTATGAACAGATGTGAATACAGTGAGGGGAATTTATCAAAACTAAAGCAGAATCTGGAGCAGTTATCCATGGCCACCATGGCCATTATCCATTATGGAGCAGTTATCCATGGCACAGCTTCTATCTATCATTTTCAAAGCTTCACTGAACAAACTGATTTTGAACTGAGAAGCCGATTGGTTACTATGGACAACTGCTCCAGTTTTTATAAATTCCCACCCAACATGCGTTGTGATGCTCTGCATTGCTAAAAAATAGTGTAGGTGCAATTTTTTATGTGCAGTGCACTGATAGCCCATTCAGAATGAACGGGCTGCCTTAACACAAAACACATTGCACACCACACAACACATGGAAAAACAAACACCCATTAATGCTCCACAATAGTGTGAATCTGCC